GGGGGGGGGGGTCGGGGCAGCCCATGGAGATGCAGCAGCTCCTGCGGGGTGTCTGCCACAGAGCTGCCCCCACCACCACCACCAAGAGCAGCCCCAGCATGAACCCACTTCTCCCCTGTCCTGGAGGTGAAGCCAGGATTAAACACTACAGTGGAGGGGAGACAAAGCTTCCTGGGGGCCTGGGAAGACCCCCCACAGCCTCAGGAGGGGCTGTGCTGCAGGACCGGGGCTGGGGAGACCTTTCATGCTCATCGCAGCAGGGAAGATGCAGCAGGAAGGACAGACACCCCCTTCCCCGGACTTCAGCCCCATCTCACCCCAGCTGAAGCAGCCCAGACGCTCTCCTACCTTTGGGTCGTGGATGCCCGAGAGCTCCTCAAAGGTCTTGTCCCCCACCATGACGGCCGCAAGGTTGGCCGTGTAGCTGGAGAGCACCAGGAGGCAGAAGATGGCCCAGAGGTTCATGAGGAAGCGGCCAGTGCAGCACTTGGGCGTCTTGCTGGACACGGTGCGCCCAAAGAGGATGGCGTAGCAGAGGTTGAGGGCTGAGGAGTAGGAGAAGATCTTCATGCGGTTGCGGCCGTGGGGGGTCATGCCGTAGGGGCTCTTCCACTCGTACAGGGTGAGGAAGAGTGCGGTCATGTGCAGGGCCACAAAGATGCCCACCCACATGGTCCAGTGCAAGGGCCACATGAAGGCCCCGATAGGCGATGCCGTGTCCTTGGTCCTCACCAAGATGCCCAGGCTGGTGGAGAAGAAGGGGCTGGTGAAGTCGATGACTTTGCTCCGTGCCGAATTGATGCTGAAGGAGGTGACGGCCATGTGGGCCGTGCCACTGAGCAGGTCCCCCACCAGCCCCGTCCAGCGCCCGTTCTTCCAAGCCCCGTATTTCCCATCACCCACAATGTAGAGCTCAAAGTCGAAGGGCACGTCCTCGGCCAGCTTCTCCAGCAGGTCGATGCAGTATCCGTAGCAGCACTTCTTGTACGCCTGCGGCACCGAGCCGTTCTCAGCACCGAGCTCCTCGAAGAGGGCATCCAGCACGGCCGAGTCATTGGTGCCGGGGTCCAGGCAGAGCTGCCCGGCCGGGCAGCTCCCATCCTCATCTGGCTCCCTGGT